GTTCATTGGTGCCAACACCAAATGAACCGCATCAATTTCTGCAAATATATTTCAAGAGAGAAACGTTTTTTCCTTCTCTAGGCGCTAAAAAGACAAACCCCTCAAAATGTCTCAAAGTGCAAGAGCGTTTCCTCCCAAAGATTGGAAAAATGATTTAATAACTATTATTAAATCGTTTCCACATCTGAGGGACAAAGACAGTTTGGAAGACAGGGCTTCCGATGTGTTAAAAATTGTCAAGGATAACCTTGTTGGGCTATCAATAAACCTTACGTCGATGGTGGATGCGAAGACGTGGAAGGTGCCGTTTATCGTGTGCTACGACGCTTTCAACTTGCGGGTAAGTTCCAAAAAGAAATACGAAACAAATTCTTCCTAATTGTTGTATTGTTAAATTGTGCGCGAGAAAGAGAGCAACATCGTGCTTCTTTATTTGATAAAATGTGCATGTTTCAACATGCGCGTATTGTGTGTTGCCATATTGCCATGTTGCCATTGCCATGACATGCCATGTTGCCATTTTGACATATCAAAACCTCAACTTTTATATATTTCCTTTTATTTATTTCTATTAATTAAATTAATTTAATACTTTTCAATTGTCATAAAAAAAAAATTTAATGCTTACACTTTTTCCCTGCAATCCAATGATGGATTGCGTTACCAAGTTATTTATGTAGATATAAGGAAACAAACATTTGAAAGAATTCAGTCCGTTAACAATTTTATTGTACAATTTTAAAATTTTTGGAAATTGGATCAATACTTGTTGGCCTTTGTGAGTGATCATGATAAAATAAATTTAAGAGATTCCTGTTCATCCTTCAGAGTCCCTCCTTTGTGGGATTGCAGACATGGTACGGTCATTTTGGCTCAAAAACATAACGTAAATATAATAAATTACATTTTTAAAAAATGATATTATTTTAATTTCCTCAGAAATAACGTAAGAGAAGAGTTTCGAGCTATTCAGGAATATGCTAAGAAGTACTGCAATGACAGTACTAGGGATTTGTGTTTGGAGGAAATATATAAAGTATACGCCATAGCTAAACGTTATTTTTCCCTTTGCCCAGAATCCGCTAGCTTTGGGGCCGCCTTCCTCAGTAACGACATTCTTGAGGATATATGGAAAAAGTGGCGACTTTTTCTACTTATTTGTAGTGGTAGTATTTAGTTGTAGTTTTTAGTTATTAATATTTAGTTCAAAATCTCTTATTAATATCTTAATTTTAATTTCATTTACTAATATTACAAGTGGAGTAGGCCTCCTGGGGAAACCACTCAAAAAAAACGCGCCAACCCTTACAACCTCCGAGGTGGCGTGGAATGAGAGTGCTAAAATCTCTAACATTCAAAATAACTCTGGTTTCTCTGCATTTTATTTTTTCCACAGTACGATCACCACGAATCCGGTGAAAATAAAAAATGCCACCAATATAGTTATCAGAACTTACAAGGTGCCAAATTCCGCCAGTACAAAGTGGCGGATGCTACCGATCCGGAGCATACGCCCCAACCTGGTCGACCGCTGTCAAATGCCGCCATCCCCGTTCCTCTGGCTAGGGGTGGTGGCGCAAGGGGAGGTGGCGCAGTTCGTGAGGGAAGAATTCAACGAGTTGGGCCACCTGGTCCGAGAGGCCCGCGTGGCCAAAGAGGCCCAAGGGGAGTACCTGCTCCGACAGCACCGGCAGCTCAGGCCGCTCAGGCAGCTCCGGCCGCTTCTCTGGAAGAATCAGTCCTAGAGGACGTCCTTGAATTTATGGAGACTTAAATAATAATCAATAATCTGTAAATCATTTTGAATAAATGTACGTACCAATCAATTGCCTTTATTCTTTATTTGCGCGTCAATCATGGCCGCCATTTGGAATGCATGTATGTGTGTGTGTGTGAGCTTGCTACACCCTTGCACTATGGGGTTTTTGACTAGTTTTTGTGGCATTAATTAATAACTCGGTCAATTTTGGAGATATCAACATGAAACTTTACCAATCATCATTATTTGTCTCTAGGCACATATAGTATGAAAATCGTTCGGATCAGGAAACTATATCCTATTGCTCCCATAGAAACCATCGGGTAAAACTTAAGAAAAATTAATGAAATTTAAGGAGCTGAAATTTGTTGCTCTTTTAATGCGATATAGCAAATCGGAACTAAATCGGATAACATTTTCCCTAGGAGCTAAAATAACCAAAATACGATTTACGGTCTGGCCCTCTTTATATAGGGCCTAGCGAGGCTTAGTGTGACCGCCACTTTTGTACTAGATTATACTTTTTTGGTGTGACCATCACCAGCTTGAGCAAATTAAGTCGTAGACGGGCGCGCCCATCTGATTTGAATTTTTAAACCTAGTACTCTGACGACGAAAATCCGCTGTAACACGTGTTATAGCGGTCAAACTCTATATAAAAACAAAAACGGTGTGATTATTATTTTTATTTATTGGGTTATTGGTGCAAAAGTAAGAAATATATTATAACATATAACATTCTTATTGTTATCATTAAGGGGGGGGTAAGGTATTTAATTTTTTTTTTCGTAAATTTTTTTTTTATTTTAAAGTTTAACATCTTAAGAATATTGTGTCCAAGTTTTACATCGATCAGAGTGAAATTGACGAAGTTATGCGGAGTTGAACGAAGGTCGGTTGGTGTTCAATGCATGGGAATCACAAAGTTTAAAGCGCTCTTCTGAAAAATTCAATTTTTCAAATCGGTGTACACGATTACAGAAAAACTACTGGACCGATCGATTTGAAATTTGGCACACACATTCTTTAACTAATTCCTCAGGTATTCACGTTGGCCTTTTTTAATTTTTAATTTTTATATATTTTTAAATTAAGAAATAACGTTTTTTTTTAGTCAAAAATCGGGTTTTTGACTTTCAAATTTCCTAAAAAATCACAAAAAAACTAAAAAAAAAAGCTTCGTGAATACCTCGGGACACTTATCCTTTAACGAATGAGGTATACTTTTTTTTAGATCGGATGATCCTGTGGACTGTTAGGATGTACACAGCAAAACAACTTTTTTTGGAGGCGACTCTGGAGATTCCCTATAACTTCTCTACCTTTAAATATTTTTCAATACAAAATTTATCAAAAATTATTCAAATGTTGTGTTATTATATGGTATTTCCGTTCCGCCACAATAATTTTGAAAAGTGGGTACCTAGGGCGAAACGTCACAAAAGACCAAATATTCTTGCTGGGCCGAAATGAAATGATCGCACACATGCACCCGTGTACGTGAATGCATGAACAAGCATGCATATGAAGTGAATTTGATAACATTTGCGGATTTCCCTTTAACATAAGCGAATTTCCCTTGTTAATTTAGGAACTGTTCAAACATGAACACGGTTTTAGATAAGAAGCATCTGTTAGCGATAAAGTCCCAGCAGCAGAGCACGGCCTAGCACCATATCTATCTATTAATACAACCGCCACTTGAGCCTATGTAACAAGTAACCCGAAATATGACCTCCTGCGAGCGGTCTGGGTTTGTTTAAGATATGTTCTTTCGGGGTGACTGTTTGCACTCTTATCGTACTTTAAATACTTCCCACGATCGGGAACTGTCCGATGCGTGGGTCTAGAACTAAGATCTACAATGTACATTCTCATGTTAGCTATATAAGCTAGGGTTTGAATGGAATAAAATCAGTTTCTTACAAAAACTCAGCATATGAAAACTTCTCATATTATTTGGGGTTTTCAGGAACCTTTTGTAAAATTTCCCCCTGGTGCCTTTTGTTCCCAAGGAATATCAGCTGGTCGGTAAAGACAAACGCGTTTATTTTGATGTCCGTCAAATTAGCGTCGGTGAGTTAGCGTCGAAATGGAACGGTGGGAAATGGAACACGGAGGAGGTTTTTTATTTTTTAATTATTTCGTTATTAAGGCAATAATTCGAACAAAATAAAGTACCAACATGTTAACAATTAAATTTACTATTGATTTATTTTGGGTTTGGGCAGTTTTGAGCAACGCTGGTACCTAAATTTTCCATTGGAAAAATCGAGTCCCCACCTTTTTTAAGATTTCGCACCCAGAGGATGTACCGCTAAGCACTGTAAGCCAGGTTTTGGGACACATATTCAAGTATAATCCCAGAAAGTTTCATTAAAATCCTAACGACAGTTTTTGAGCAAATCGCTCAACATTGGCCAAACCTATGGTTCCCCTCCATACAAAAACTGGCAGCAAAAGTTTAAGGTCGCCAAGCTTAGCTCTCAGAGGATGTACCACTATAAGTGGTATATGGGCATATTGGGGAGCGCAAATAGAATATTTGGTGAACTTTTTATTAAAAACAAAACGACAGATTTTGAGAAAATCGCTTTACAGTTTTCCATTCAAAATGGCTGTTAGGAAGGCGCGAACTCCGGAACTAAAACCGGTCGTGAGCCAGTGGTTCAGCGCGCCACAGAACCGAACTAACTTTTAATAAATCGATTAAACCCCGCCAGAAAATATTTCTATTGTCAATTTGAACAATTGTGTTAATTATGAATGCCCAATAAACGACATTGTCATTCTAAGCAATTTGGTAGGTGTTTTATCAAATTCCGTTCAGTCGTTCAGGAGAAAACGTCAATTTTTCATTTATTTACTTTTATGTATCAGCAAAGAAAACCACCGATCGCCAAACGTGTGACGTCACACAAACCATGTTTTTAACCAATTGAATGCGCCAACCATGTTTTCGACGCTAAATTTCAACAAATTATTTCCAGCTTAAATGAGGATATGCAGATATGCACGGTATATCAAAAGAAAGGGAATTCTATTCTTAAATTTCTATAAAAATCTTGAGTCGATCTGACCGACAGATTTTGAGAAATTCCTATATTCCTTATCCGACTTTATTATTAACACTGGCTGCATATCGATTAATCCCATATCGATTAATCCGCCCTATCGATTAATCCCAGTCTGGCAGCACCAAATTATCGAAAAGCCCGCTATTCCTGTAATTGTTAATTCTGCGAAAACAGGCGAAACGAACAAAAGTGAAGCTACAGAAAGCTATTTTTTTATATACAACATTTTCCAATAAAACAACGTAAGTATATGTTACTGACCATTTTCGACAATGGTTTTCTTTTATTATATATTATGTTCTTACATATTATGTTTTTTATTTAAATTGCAGATGGTAAAAAACGTCTATATAATTGATAAGACTGGCAGAGGACGTCGTGGACGTGGTGGACGTGGCGGACGAGGAGGACGAGGCGGACGAGGCGGGCGTGGTGGAGATGGCGGCGACGCTGGACGTGGCGGGGTCAGTGGCCGCGGAGTCGGCGGCCTGAACCGGCAACAACGATTTTTCTTGGCGTTCCAGGCGGCCAGGAACGTCCCCGTGTCCGCCGGTGAGCGCAAAAACTTGCAAAGGGCCTTTTTGGCCCTACTGCAGCCGCAGGGGCAGGAGCAGCAGCCGCAGGGGCAGGAGCAGCAGCGGCAGGAGCAGGAGCAGCAGCAGCTGCTCAAGGAGGTCTTAAAGGACCTACTTGAAGAGAAACAAAAGGAGATAGAGGCGGCGGTGTCGGCCTTTATATCCGGCAAGAAGCAGCAGGAGCAGCGTCAACTTGAGCAGGAGTCGGAGCAGCCCCAACAGGAGCAGGAGACGCTGCAAAACAATGTATAAACACAAAAAAATAATAATAAACGAAAAAACTATAATTTGGCTGTTTTTTAACTTATTTTTATCCTTTTTGAGGTATGACCAGACAGTGTTAATAATAAGGTCGGAGAAGGAAAATAGGAATTTCTCAAAATCTGTCGGTCAGATCGACTCAAGATTTTTATAGAAATTTAAGAATAGAATTCCCTTTCTTTTGATATACCGTGCATATCTGCATATCCTCATTTAAGCTGGAAATAATTTGTTGAAATTTAGCATCGAAAACATGGTTGGCGCATTCAATTGGTTAAAAACATGGTTTGTGTGACGTCACACGTTTGGCGATCGGTGGTTTTCTTTGCTGATACATAAAAGTAAATAAATGAAAAATTGACGTTTTCTCCTGAACGACTGAACGGAATTTGATAAAACACCTACCAAATTGCTTAGAATGACAATGTCGTTTATTGGGCATTCATAATTAACACAATTGTTCAAATTGACAATAGAAATATTTTCTGGCGGGGTTTAATCGATTTATTAAAAGTTAGTTCGGTTCTGTGGCGCGCTGAACCACTGGCTCACGACCGGTTTTAGTTCCGGAGTTCTCGCCTTCCTAACAGCCATTTTGAATGGAAAACTGTAAAGCGATTTTCTCAAAATCTGTCGTTTTGTTTTTAATAAAAAGTTCACCAAATATTCTATTTGCGCTCCCCAATATGCCCATATACCACTTATAGTGGTACATCCTCTGAGAGCTAAGCTTGGCGACCTTAAAGCCTAGTACTCTGACGAGAAAAAACCGCTGTATAAATTTAGACAGCGGCCAAACTCCATATAAAAAAATCGGTGTCGAAAAAAGAAGAAGAACTTTTAGACACGTCGTTTTTTTCGGTACTCTGACGACGAAAATGAAGCCTGCGAAAATTGAATGGCGTTACCAGATCAAGATAGTAAACAGCTGATATCGCGCTGTCTAAATAATTCATTTGATTTATTTAGACACCCCTCATGGAGGGAAAGTTAAAGGAAAAAGGTGGCATTGATAGGGGCTGTCAAGGGGAAGCCCATAATACGGAATTTAACCCAGAAAGGACATTTTATTGCCATATTTATTAATATTTTTAATATTTTTTTTAAATATTTGTTTACAAACAGCTGTCCAGTGTGACCAAGGAAAATCCTTAAACGCCATAAAAAGTACTTTTTTAATGGAATTTCAGGATTTTCCTTAATTTTTTTTTGGTCACACTAGCTCGGTAGCGAACTAAACAGCGATTCCGCTGTCTAATTTAGACAGCGGGTTTTTCTCGTCAGAGTACTAGGCTTAAACTTTTGCTGCCAGTTTTTGTATGGAGGGGAACCATAGGTTTGACCACTGTTGAGCGATTTGCTCAAAAACTGTCGTTAGGATTTTAATGATATTTTCTGGGATTATACTTGAATATGTGTCCCAAAACCTGGCTTACAGTGCTTAGCGGTACATCCTCTGGGTGCGAAATCTTAAAAAAGGTGGGGACTCGATTTTTCCAATGGAAAATTTAGGTACCAGCGTTGCTCAAAACTGCCCAAACCCAAAATAAATCAATAGTAAATTTAATTCTTAACATGTTGGTACTTTATTTTGTTCGAATTAGTGCCTTAATAACGAAATAATTAAAAAATAAAAAACCTCCTCCGTGTTACATTTCCCACCGTTCCATTTCGACGTTAACTCACCGGCGCGCCGGTAGGTTTTTGCACTGTAAATAATATATACAGGCCTGCTCCGGTAATCGTAAAATTTTTTCGATTTCGTTTTGGGCGAAAACGAACCGTTTTCGTTTTTAGCTGCTCCGGTTTTCGGCAAAGTTCTGCTATCGGAATGTTTCGTTTTCTCATCGTTTCTTACTGCTCAAGCAGCTAACTTGTGTTTTTGGTAAAGCCTAGTACTCTGACGAGAAAAAACCGCTGTATAAATTTAGACAGCGGCCAAACTCCATATAAAAAAAACGGTGTCGAAAAAAAAGAAGAAGAACTTTTAGACACGTCGTTTTTTTCGGTACTCTGACGACGAAAATGAAGCCTGCGAAAATTGAAAGGCGTTGCCAGATCAAGATAGTAAACAGCTGATATCGCGCTGTCTAAATAATTCATTTGATTTATTTAGACACCCCTAATGGAGGGAAAGTTGAAGGAAAAAGGTGGCATTGATAGGGGCTGTCAAGGGGAAGCCCATAATATGGAATTTAACCCACAAAGGACATTTTAATGCCATATTTACTAATATTTTTAATATTTTTTTTGAATATTTGTTTACAAACAGCTGTCCAGTGTGACCAAGGAAAATCCTTAAACGCCATAAAAAGTACATTTTCATGGAATTTCCTTAATTTTTTTGGTCACACTAGCTCGGTAGCGAAATAAACAACGATTCCGCTGTCTAATTTAGACAGCGGGTTTTTCTCGTCAGAGTACTAGGCTTAAAATGCAAACAACGTAAAGTACTGCCTATTATATTTACAATTGCCCTTTTTCTAAGCCAGAAAAAAGGCAAAAACGGTAGAGTTAAGCAAATCTATGCACCTAAGATGCTGCCACACTTTTCACAGTTTAAATTTCGGTGGTCCCAAATAATTATTTGGTTAATTTGGATCAGTTAAGTAATCACATTAAATAGCAGTAATTATAAACAAACATTTTGGCGGTCCTTTAAAGTTAGTAATGTATTCATTTATATTTTATAAGTATTTTTAACTGGCTGTTTCGTTCCACCAACAATATGGCAACCTTGGCGATAACTTTTTGCGGTGAACCTATCGACCTATCGCCAAAACGAGAAAACTGGTTAAACACGGCAAAAATGTTGTTGTCAAATCTGAGGTGGGGTCAGAAATAAATTTTTTAAAAAATAACTACGTGCCAGAATGATCTTGTGGTGGTGTGGAATAAACATCAATAGACCACTGAGTAAACTATTTTTTTTCCTTTTGTAAATAAGATCTGATTTCATATAAAAAAAGCCATTTACTTTTCATTCCGGCCAGAAAAAGGTGCCCGTTTTTCAAATCGGAAAAATCTTTCGTTTTCGATTACCGGAGCACCAATTTCTCGTTTTCAAAAACGAAAACGAAAAAATCTTGCCGTTTTCGATTACCGGAGCAGGCCTGATAGTCCCGCACTAAACTTTTGGCACTGTTGTAAAGATGAACTTTAAATGTCGTTATAAAGCGTATGCAGCACTTAAATGAAAAAAAAAAACAATTTTTATATAGGTAAATTAAGCATTTGTTAAAACAGAGGCGCTTTTTTTTGTCTTTTTAAAAACGATTTTAAAGCTTTTATTCTTTAACAAAAAGGGAACTAATTTCTTGAAACAAAAGTCTTGGCACACTTCATATAAAACATTATTTTTTTTTTTAAATAACAAAATTAATATTTTTTTGGTAGTCCTTTTTGTTTTATGGCGTCTTACAGACGTCTTGGCATTGAATGCATTCATTTTTTGCTAACTTCTGCACCAATATTCTTCCATTCGTCACATAATGCCTTTTTTAGGGCATTTTTCTGTCGAGTTCCTCCCACAAATGTTCTATCGGATCTAAGTCCGGTGACTGCGGTGAATGTAGCAGTACATGTGCTGTATTATATGTAAGCCATAGCCGCACATTCTGGGCAGAATGCTTGGAATCATTGTCCTGCATAAATGTGAATGATTTAGTCATATTGAGCTTTACAGCGCTTTTTTTAGGTTCTCTTTTAAAATATTAAGGCATTACACTTTGTCCATTATACCCTCAATAAATACTAACTCGCCTACACCAGCGGATGACATGCATCCCCACACCATCACGCCTCCGCCGCCGTGTTTTACTGTTGGTGCCAAGTTCTTTTTTTCCAGCTCGGTGTTCGGTTTTCTCCATACTTGCTGGCGGCCATCATTGCGAAAATGATTAAATTTGCTTTCGTCCGAGAAGAGCACCTGATCCCAAAATACGACTGGCTTCTTTAGAAACTCCTTAGCATAGGCCAAACGCTTTTTTTGGTTGAAATCAGATTTTAAGGGTTTTCTCCTAGCAGAACGGCAATGGAAGTTGGCATCGTGCAGGGCCCTTCTTACAGTCGTCGGGTGGATATCCTTCCCAAACTCGGTTTTAACCTCAGCGGCGATCTGGGAGGATGATTTCTTAGGGTCAACCTTGACTTTTCGGATCACCGTGTTGCGTTCCCGGTCGCTTAAAGCCTAGGGACGCCCCGATCTAGGTGCGCTCTCCAAACTAGCGCTGCACTATGCTTATGATTGAAAATCGGCTAAGTTCCATTATCTTGGCTATTTCGCCATAGGATTTGCCTTCATTGTGCAGGTGAAGGACCATTTTTCTTTGCGCTATGTTTGATTCCTTGCGCTTGTTCTCCATTTTTACCACAATCACGCTAACAGCGAAGAATTCTCGAAAAGTCGAACTTTTTTTGAAAACTTCTTGACGCCATATGACTAAAATAAAGTGCCGTTTTGATGTTCATAAAATAGTATGACCAGATAGGGCTTAAGACAAAAATAAATCAAATAAATAATGTAACTGTGCCACGACTTTTGTGTCACGAAATCTAATATTTTGTGTGTCCACCTCTCTGCTTTTCCACAGTTTTCAGGCGATTTTGCATGAACTCAACCAATTTTTTTGCCACAAATTGAGAAATGACGTTTAAGTCTGGAGACTGGGTTGGTGTCTTGACCCCATGAGGACAATTGTAGATTAGCCAATACTTAACAATTGATGCTGCGTGCTTAGGGTCGTATTCCTGATAGAACCGAAGCCCAGCTTTTCGGGACTTTGCAGAAAATTTTCCTTCAATATGGTCAGGTACATCTGGCATCTATCCCATCAATTAAAATCAGGTTACCCACTCCAGAGGCCACCATACAGGCCCAAACCATGACATGGCCCCCGCCATGTTTAACTGTTTGTTTTCAAGCTCTGTATTGGGCCGCCGCCACACATATTGCCTCCCATTAGAACCAAATAAGTTAAAGATTATATCATTCCAGA